GCCGCGCCATGGACTTAAGCGCGGCCAAACGGGTTAGATTTGAAAATAAAAAAGCAACGGTGTTAGATTTAGAATTTGTTTTAAGAAAATGTTAAAAAAAATCTGCGTGGGCGCGGGGTGGGGTTCTGGCTTCAATGACGTGCATGATTTTGGCCTTTGGAACGGGGACGTGTGTATTTGGAGCTCGGGCAATTGCAAGCTGGTCAGCACCTGGGTATTTTGCCTCGACAAAATGGCTGAATGAACGGTAGCAAAAAAAAAGTATTACAGGAGGACCTAATACCAGAATTTAGTGAACAAATAAATCAAATACAAGCAAATAAAACAGAAAAACAAAAAAGGTTTTATGGTTTGTTTAACAAAACAAATTCAGAAATGAAATGTAACAGAATGTCAAATTTTTTCTATAGTTAGACAAAGGCAGATGTTATTCAAGTGAGTTTAACAAAGGAAAATCAAATAGCATATGAAACAGATGTGCAATTTTTTTTCTAAAGTTAGACAAAGGCTAAGATTACTCAGGTGTGTTGCAAAGAAAATTCAGATAGGATGAGACGGACGTGAAAAATTCTTTGTCAAATTACATATATAATTACATAACAAAATCAAATAGCATATGTAAAAATAATTAAATATATAAATAATAACAGTTACACCTACTTTTCTAAATAATTACATATACTTTTTTAAAGAATTACCTATAGTAAACACTGTAATAATAGAGTCAACAAACTAGAACTTTAAATTACATGAGTGACTGCCGAGAGAACAGGGAGGAAATGCGCTGCAGCCTTTGAGATCCAAAATATTGGGCGCGCTTCCCAAAATTGAATAGTACCCCCTCCCTTACAAATTATAAGTCGTTTTGACTTTTTTGGTACATCAATGTTGCTATGTATCTAGATATAATAATATGTCTATATACATAAGCATAATGGATGAACTAAAAAAGTCAAAGCGACTTATAATTTGGAATGGAGGGAGTACTATACTATATTAAAGTGGGTCTCACAACTTGGACAGAAAATAAAAAAAAAGTCAACGAGCATAGATCAAATGGCCAGCGTAGAATCAGATGAAGAGACGGACGGCGCAAAATTGAGGTAGCGAAGGCAATAGGAATGCCCAAGTATCCTACAGATTTCCCCATCTTGAATGAGTAAGAGAAGATGGTTTGAGGAGAGATTACTTTGGTACACGAATTTGGATGGACTTAGATTAGGCATGACTGTGGGGGTGGTTGAGCGGGGTGGATTTAGTAAAGAAAGTTTTGGTGTATATTATAGAGGTGTAGAGATGAGGCTTCTCCAACCAACAAGTGGTCAAACTTTTTTTCTGATGAACTATTAATGTGTGCCGAAATAGCAAAGTCTTTTTTTACTAAGAATATAGGCACATGATATGAGTTTATCTCGCCAAAAACAATTGCACAACAAAAAAAAAACCTTATATGTCAGGTTGGTTCTTGTGTAAATTTGAATGCATGTGCTTAATAGTTGAGTTGGGCTGATTCTTGTGTTCTATTCTTTCTTGGTTGTCATGTTAGTTCCATTTGTTTTGTTTGTGTGTGGAGATTCACCTGCCTAGAACACCTTGTTGTATAAGGGTTAAAAGTTCTCGGTGTTTCTAGAAAATCCTTGAAACTAAATACTTTAAAAGCTCTTGATGTTTGTAGTTTTATACTGTAAGGGTTAACTAAGTCATGTCTAAAATGGCAGCTTGCATGTGTAGTTTTATATATACTAGTAATTTGCTCGTGCTAACTGACAAGAGTCAAACATAGTGATATGCTAAGTCCCCCACTAGCACAGAAAAGTTTTTTAGGGGCGGTTAAAATCGATCTTTAGAGGTGGTTTGAAAATCGTTACAATGCCATTGTCTGTAAAGATAGAGCATTAGTAGTGTTGGGCATTTAACCGTCCCTGGAAAAGCATTTCTAGGGGCGGTTGCATTAGGAGAACCCCCTAATAATCTATTTTAGGGGTGGTTGTTGTATGAGAACCGCCCCTGTAAACATATTTTCAGTGGCAGTTGCTACACTGCAACCGTCCTTGAAAATGGTTTTACAAGGATGGTATGGCAATGCAATCGCTTCTAAAAACACATTTTTAGGGGGCTGTTGGCTTAATCAAACCGTCCCTGAAAATATATTTACAAGTGCGGTTCACTAAACCGTCAAAATCAGTTTCAAATTTTTGGAATTTGAACTGCCATATTTGAAATCGGGTTTTCCCACCAAATTTCAGAGCCAAATGCAATTGATTCAAATTAACTTCATATATACATAGTAGTGAACTAGTTAACTGATACACACATGATCAACAAAGTATTTGTAGCATAATTTAAATTACATTACAAACTACTCAGTAACATTAATTGTGCTTCTGCCAAAAAAAGAAAACAAGGGATGCTCGCATGCAGCGCGAAGAGCCTCAAACTACCCCAGCGAATATCCAGGGCAAGCTGCTTAGCACGCCAAGCCTTCCGTACTTGGGAGTGTAACCTATGAATCCAACTATGGACCGAATCAACATCGACACTGAAACGTCGCTATCCTCATCCACGAGGCCCAATATGCGATGGGCAAGGTAAGGTGCTGAGAGCTGAGCATGTCCTTCATTCCCCTCATTTGATAGACAGGTGTGCGGTTGAACCACTTTACTTATCCTCCATTTGCCATCTCTCTAATTCTTGCGAACCCATACCCTCCACAAATAGCTTGCCTTGCATACCATGTAGTACCTCAAGTTCTGATCAGAATGGCTAACAGTGTACGGCCTATGGTGATGCACTGCATAGTCTTGAAGAAACAGCTTCAGCTCAGACATTTGTATCAAATACTATCCCCTTTCTAATGATCTCTTTGCGATGGTCGTACATTGATTAATTTCCGACACATCTGCAGCCCATGGTCACAAACTGTCATATCTGTCATGCTAATGTCCCTTTAGTTGGGAACGCCATGAAAAGGTATGTTCACCGACCTCAATCGCTCAACCTCACCCATGAATCATATGGAGTAGCATCCTCTACGTGAGTACAAACAGGCATAGCCTCCTCTACTTCAGCATGAACAGGCACATCTCTGACTATTCTCTCCTCAACCGGTCCTAGGTAATGGTTACCTGGGTCAACTGGCACTGGCTCCTTCATCATGGTCCGAATTCTCTGAATCAATGCTAACTTCATCACCAGTCCTTTCCTCCTCTTCTTTCTCCAACTCATCGTTCAGATGGCCTACTGAAAACCGCCTACATTCTTCAACTGCCATTGGAGAGGACTGAAGTTGCTCATACGTCAACTTACTGCCCAATACCATATTCCCTAGTGTTCGGTCCACATCGACCGCCCATTGATGTTCATCGCCTCCAACGTCGTCAAAGGATGGCCCATCCTCCTTCCTGTATCCATTCTCCACCATCACCTCAACCATGGTCACATTTGACCCTTCGATTACCCTTTTTTAGAGTGACCAATGACCCTCATTGGGTAAGGGCATTAAGATGAAGTGTGCCCTAGTCTTCCCACTATCAAACCTCCCCTTCAATGTGAAAACACCAGCGAACGAACTTTTCCTTAACACGCAAGAAAAGGTCACAGAAGCTAGGAGGCACACTAGATATTTCCAGTTCATCTTCCATATCCTCAAACACCACATCTTCTTTTCTAACACTTCCTCCATAAAACAAATGGACTAAATAATCCATCTACAAAAGCATTTGAACAAACTTCATCAAGTCTTCGAATTGGTTCTAGTGAACAAAACAGGGGCGACTAAGTACATATAACCTATACATCGTAACCTAACCAAATATAAATACAATCTACCTAGCCTAACCTAACTACATATAACCGATACATGCTAAACTATCTATACAATTAGCTACACTAACTATACCAAATAAGTCACTATACCATAGCCAATCTATTGCGACTCCAAATTGGTCGCTATAAGTCGTTATTATAGCGACCGATGTATAAGTCGTTGTAAGTGGCGTCGCTATAAATCTATAGCGACCAACAGGGTTTACAGCTACCGATAGTTGGATGCTAGTATTTATAACAACCAATGATCTATCACATGTTATAGCGACCAATGGTTCGAGGATATTAAACTTTTTAGCGACCACTAATCCGTCGCTATGAACTGGCACAATTATATATAATAAATTTTGTATTAACCAGATTTCATATTAAATCAACATCCATAGCATGTCACATCACTTCATCAACCACATCATCAGATAAAGATCTCAAGTTTCATTGAAGCCAACATTTAACAATACATCAAGTCCTATCATCTGAGATTCTGATCCATGACAGCAAGTCATCATTACAAAAGGAAAAGAACACATACAACCTAGCTAGGTTAAATGGCAGGCACCAGTCATATGTTAGACTGCACAATCTAACTAGATTCATAGCAAAATGCCTCATCTCCATCTTATCAAAAGCAAAATGTCATATGTTGACTTCTTGTTGACATTATCCAGATTCCAGCATCATGTACACCTCCAAGGCCTCCCTCCACCTGAACACAACACAGTACACACATGAAGTTAATTATGGGACCTACATAGGAACCAAACAATTGTGATACCCATAATCTAATTGAGACTAGAAAATAGTAAATAGGAAACCTCAAATAGAAATAGAAAAATATCATCTCCAAGGTTCAAAAGTAGATTTCTGGAAGCTAGTTGGGTACATTCAGTTTCGACAAACTGTTGATGAAGTCTAAGTCTTTTCTAACAGTCATGTAGTAAATTGCACTTTAAAGACTAGCATGAAAATTTTCACTAAATGGTTCATTCCCAAAATTATAGACATCAGAGGTTTTTATTTTCATTCCAAGAAGTCATCAACAGTTTGCATGCAAGCTTGAAAAAGATAAAATCAGAACATGCTGACCAAAATCACACACATATTACAAATAAGAAAACATTTATGCATCCTCAACAAAAAAGGTAGAAATCAGATATAGATTGTCCACCTGAGTTCTAGCTCTTCTCTCCCCCTGCTGCAAGTCCAGAGTATAAAAACACAAAGTATAGGCACTAATCAGCATCATGAAACTTGCTAACCTTCAACTATCATAAGAGGAGATATATAAGTGACCTAAGAATAACATACCTGAAACACCTTCAGGCAATTTTGATGCCTTCCTAACCGATTTTGATGCCTGCTGCTTAACCTTCAATTGTCACAAATATCACTAATTATAAGTTTGACCATTTGTCATATACTAGTGAACATGCACGTGCGACACGCACATGGATATAAAAAAATATCATTCATAAAGGAGGAATTACAGTTGGCATTAGAATTCTAGCTTTTTCAAAGTGGAAAATTCCATTACTAAACGAGGCTACGTTACAAACTCTTGAGGCAGTAAGTACATCTCCATCTCCCACATCAAACCACTTGCAGAGCTTATGATCGATGTATGTTGGCACTAGACAGTGCAGCTTGCCTTACCCTCATATCATCATCAGAGTCTTTCTCCTTGTGTACTTGGATGCTTAGTATAATCTCACCATTTTCCCATTCCCCTCCTATAACTTCTCCTCACAACCTCATACCGCACTTGAAATATCTTCCTAAAATATGGGTAAAAATAAAGATTGGCGACCCGTAAAATCATCAAATATATCAAAAGAAACCATGCTAAAATTTTGATTTACTGTTAGAAACCTCAGCTTGGAAGTTTCCATACCGCACTAAAAAAGACTGAAGGTACCACATATTTCGCCCCTAAGAGTGAAAATGTCACATTAAAATTGATAGACAACTGTGTGTACACAACCACCTTAAGTAAGAGAAAGAGAATGGGCACAAGAATCTAGCAATTTGAGTAACTAATACAACAAGAACTACAGGTCATGCGAATCCTCTTATCTGAAAGCAAGTATACATACTGATATACGTTACTGGACACAAAAAGGAAAGGTTAACTCTATACTAATATCCTACACGATAATATTGCAGAGAGAGGTGTTGAACTATACAAACCTGTGCATATGTATTGGCCGAAGAAATAAGTTCATTATTCCCAGATCCAGTAAAAGCTGCAGAGGGGAAAAAGGAAAGAAGTTATATAGTTAATGAAGCACGGGATACTGAAGGTACCCACATATAAAGTTCATTAAATGTATCACGAGGAGCAAAAGAAAATATGTCAAAGAATAAACTGACAGGACAAATTTAAATGTTTTATATTTTCTAGATTCTAACAAAATGCTCACGATCAGCAGTAAAGATAGAAGCAGTACGTAATCCCTATTTGCATGCTTAGCTGGTTGAGTCTAGGACAAGGCAGCAAAGCAGAAAATGAGATAATATAGTGGGAAAAAAATCATCAGGTTTTTTTCATTAGAAAATACAGAAATGATCAGCACTTCCAAGGAAGTACGAAAAAACAAGATGATAGTTGTAGGTTCATAGAATATTTTTCTGTAGAGTCTTACGCATCAATACTTGAGTACCAAACACCGCTATGCCACAAGCAAGAGCAAGAAACAGTAACATAGACACTTGATGTTGTGCAAGTTCTTCATCCTGTGTATGGTAACTGCAACCAGATTAGATAACCGATACAGCAAGAATGCAAAATCCAAGAAGGTGATTGACATTCGACATATTGTTAAAGACTACTCACAAGCACTGAGAACACAAAGTAGGAGCGTAACAATGTGCCAAGTGACAAATTTTTTGTCGTGAAACCAGCATTCATGAGAGTTTGGTTTCAGATCAGTCTATAAACTGCCAGGTAGCATCCTATGTATGCCGTGGTGTGAAGTGCAATATTCTTCATAGTGAAGTAAACCAATGTATAGTCACATGTTTGTGTAGAGAGGGAGCAAACTTATATCAAAATGAGATAATATAGTGAAAAAAATCATCAGGTTTTTTTCATTAGAAAATACAGAAATGATCAGCACTTCTAAGGAAGTACGAAAAAACAAGATGATGGTTGTAGGTTCATAAAATATTTTTCTGTAGAGTCTTTCACATCAATACTTGAGAACCAAACACCTTATGAACAAAAACATTGCTATGCCACAAGCAAGAGCAAGAAACAGTAACATAGCCACTTGATGTTGTGCAAGTTCTTCATCCTGTGTATGGTAACTGCAACTAGATTAGATAACCGATACAACAAGAATGCAAAATCCAAGAAGGTGATTGTGGCAGAACCGCCCGAAATAATGCACTTACGGAGGCGCTCGTCTTCCACCAGACACTAAGCACCCCGAAAACACGCTACAACGGGTGAGTTCTATCGGGCACACCCCAAGGGAGAGCCCGAATAGTCCACATTTTCCCCCAAGGATCCAATAATGAGAACGAGTTACAATACTTAATCCATTTCATACATCCAGAGTTCTTAGAAATATATTATTACAGTACCAAGGTCAGAGTGCGGAATATTAAACAGCGGAATGATAATAAACATCTATCGATAATGAACAAGGATCCGTCTGTGCCCACTAGAAGAATCCTTCACACAACGGGAACATCTCAAGTAGTACCTGCAACAGGGGTAAATAAATCCTGAGTACACAATGTACTCGCAAGACTTATCCGACTAGTGGGAATACTTTCCAGACTCCAAGGAATATGATAAGCTTTATGGTTTGCTGGGTTTCTTTTGCAGAAAGCAATACTAATAGTGAATCTTTATTTATGTTATTATTAGCGGTCATGATTAATTTATTATCTAGCCATTCTATGTAAGCACCTGTTCTACTTTCAAGCAAGAGTTGAGCAAGCAGTTTCATTTCATCACATTTCATCTTTCAGTTCTTACTACGATGCTAGAGTTAAGACAAGTCGTACCGACACGGCGGCGATTTGTGAATCAATGTGCCTAGCTGGGTACCCTGAAAACACACGCCCCGCTTGTACCTCAGGCACAAGCAGGACCAACCCATCACCCTCCTATCACGGGGTCCAGGCCCCCGTCCAAACTTGAACTCCAAGCCTCCGCTCCTGAGTCCCGGATTCAGTGCGGTGCAAGGACCTCCACCATCCCCGCATCCAATCAGTCGGTCTAGAAAGAGCCGAAATCCACGACAAGAGAGCAACAGGTCTTCCCTGCGCCCATACCCAAGTATGTCCTCGGGATAATAAATCTGTGACTTGCCTAGCGTCCATTGCAACGGCCGGTCCTTAACCAACACAGACAGGGAAAAAGTGTAACCAAGCTATGCCCCGTTGGCCGCAGGACACAACCTCTTACACCCACCAGTACCCAAACCATATCCCTGCCCGGTCACCATTTTCCTTTCCACCAGTTTATCATGAGTGATCATAATTATCACCTATTGTGAGTAACGGCAGGTTACTCACGCTACCGAATCCTGAGCATAGCAGCTACTCGATCTATACTAGTAGGGCTCATAGGTAGATATATTTATGCATGTAGTTTCCATAAAATGGCTGTAACATAAATGCACATCATATATATATATATATTCACTAATCAGTCAAAAATAGGGGTTATGCACCAGGGCTTGTCTTGGGTAGGTGGTGTGTCAACAAAGTCAGCAACGAATGGCTCCGGGGCTTCCTCCTGAACGAGAACTTCCTCCTCGTACTCCTCAATAATCTCCTCATAGTCTTGTTCGTCCGCAGGCACGAACTCTACCAACTCGTGATCTACATGCATGAAATGATGATGCAATACTTAGTAATACGATAACAGCAACTCTTAAAATAAAAATACATCTGTCAGGCTACTAAGCTAGTTCTACCGACTAAGGTGCTAAGTTACCTACTGTTACCACTAACAAGTATGAAACATTTCATGTACTATCTTAGCAACTAAGGGTATTCGTAATATCAATTTACTCTATATATAATAAAACAGGGAGTACTAGCTATTCTATATATCAACCTACTCTAGAGCTATAAAAATTACAGTGAGCATATAATAATCTAATGAGCCTACTGTAAAAATTTTGTGGCTAAAGTTATCATCGATTTGCCACAAAAATACATGCGAATATTAAGCTAACTAATACTAAGGTTTCTAAATTGAATTTATGAATCTATCATTATCACAACTAACAGTAAACTTACTACACCAACAGATAGATAGCATTTTTATGAACCTAACAAATTTTGTTTCACTATTTTTGGACACCTACGGATTTTTCTACAATTTTACAAAGATTAGCTCACAACTAAATTGAATAAATGTTTATTAATTCATTGAAAAATGAAAAACTGAATTCCTTAGCGCGGCCCGTGAGCGAGCGGCTCGGCCCACTCCAGTGCCCCACGCACGCGCACGTGCAGCACACCGGCGCGGCCCACGCAGCTCGGCGATAGTGGCCCAACGCGGGGAGACCCACGCGCGCCGACGATTATGCAAAAGAGACCCTGGTTTCAACTAAATGAACCCACGGTCCTTTCTACTATTTCACTCTCTCTGACGCTCGCACTTAACCCCCCGGTTCACTTCGAATTCCCATTTCAAGGTCCCTGGCCGAAACTTAACAGAGGCCACGGCATCTCCGACCAAACGTCGACGAGCACGGACCTCCTCGGCAGCAATCCTCACCACCGAGACACTCCTCACCACAAGCACATTCGATAGAGGTAATAAACACCATGATTGGTGCCGCACAGAGGCGTGTCCACACACCACGGCGGGGTTTGGCCGCGGTGACACCGACGTCGGCGAATTAACCTAGCCCAACGCCTCTACCGCTAACCTAGGAGCGAAGGTGCCTCACCAGATACATGAAGGATGGCCTGGACGAAGTCGCAGGGCTCGACACGGTGGTTGGCCATGAGCGCGGTGTTGCTCTGGTTCACGGCAAGCATGGCGGCGGCGGCCCCGGCGACCTGCTGCTCCACCGGCAAAACTACTACACGGGCGAGGCAACCAAGTCAACACGACGCAAAAGCACCGCTCAATTGAAACAACGGAGCATGGAGCGACGCCCTGGCCGAGCACCCGCCTCGATGGTCATGGTGGACTGCCGCGACAAAAATGCCCCACATTACCTCACTGGAGGACGAAAGCTCGTTGGGTCGACTCCAATCGCGAGCTAACTACCAGAGCTAGTTGGGTGCACAGTTAATTGGAAGGAGGTGGACTACGCAAGGCTAATTAGATGGACGACTCAGCTCGGTCTTATGGTGGCCGACGATGGGGAAAACTCAAATTGACGCCCCGACATCGTACGACCGCAACAGTGGCAGGCTTGGCGCGACGCTAGACTCTAAATCAAGCTCCAGACATGCGCAATTACGAGGATAGGGCCAGGCTCTGTGGGTTTTGCCTTGGCGCGGCTCGGCCGGCTGGCGTGACACCATTCAAGGCGACATGACGGGGAGTGTGGCATGGCGTAGCCACTAAATGGGAGAGGATGGCAGCGCGACGGGTGATGGCTCCATGCGCGAACGAGGCTGGCACGACGACAGCGGCGGTGGCAGAGCAGCTCAGGCGGACGCAACGCTGGCGGTGAGAGCGCACGCGGGCGACCCAGCGAGGCAGACGGCAGCGACGGAGCAGAGTGGCTGGGCCCGCCGGCCCTAGCGTCCCGAGTGCGCGTGCTTGGCGCGGCAGCAGGTGGCAGTGGCCAGTAGCCGTGGCACGTGTGCGGGCGTGCGTGCGCGTGCGTGTCGGGTGGCCAGCGCGGCAGCGCTGAGTGCCGGGCACGGTGACCATGCCCCGACGCCGAAACCAACGGTAACGTGCCATGCACGATTTTTAAAGCGTTCCAAAAATCAAACTCGATGATTCAAATGACAAACCAGTTTTTCTATACTTAAGAGGGTATGTTAAACTACTGAAACAAGCCCTAATACCACACCATTACTTAACCCAAATCTCCTACAAAAATTGTCGAACGTAGCTTCGTCCAAGCATTTTCCGACTTAGGAAAATTGACTAAGTTTTTGCTCGGATTCGTGTCAACTTCGATTTCCAAGCTACCAACCATGCTAGCTACGGAATTCATTTCTCGATTGCAAGTATTTCATTGTCGCCTACGAAGTTTGTACTACAAACTTTATTAAAGTGCCGCATATGCGTTCTATAGCATTTTCGTTCAATAAAAAATCGTTTAGAACCCTAAGTGATATAACGCGGCATGAAATATAACATTCGTTTCATGTTTCCGATGAACGTTTCAAGTTACGTACATTGCTTTACACTCTATATTACACATATTTATACATAAATATGATGCTCATGCAATGTTCTAGCAAAAGATTGTATAGTGTAACACCGAGGGTGTTACAATGATTGACATTCGACATATTGTTAAAGACTACTCACAAGCACTGAGAACACAAAGTAGGAGCAGAACAATGTGCCAAGTGACAAATTTTTTGTCGTGAAACCAGCATTCATGAGAGTTTGGTTTCAGATCAGTCTATAAACTGCCAGGTTGCATCCTATGTATGCCGTGGTGTGAAGTGTAATATTCTTCATAGTGAAGTAAACCAATGTATAGTCACATGTTTGTGTAGAGAGGGAGCAAACTTATATCAACATGGGTATCCATCTAAATCTAGTTTGGGAAGAATTGAAAGTGGGT